AGTTAGAATGATTTTGTATTAAATGTGTTTATTGTATAATATACGTGAATGTTCCTTGGCTTTCATTTTCATTATCACAAGTAGAGGAGAAGGCTTTTTCACGGCAGAGAATATTCTGTTTTGAAAGAAATATCTGAAGTAAAGTTATGTTTCTGCCAGCATCAGAGGCATGCATTTTAAAACTCACAGGGTAGCAGACAGAAATGCATGCGGGTCGATTCCGACGCGGATGATTCTGCATCCAGATCAGTTTTATTACACTTTATTGAATTAACTGCGAGCATAATATGAATGACTGATGACCAGAATTAAGTTCAATCTTACCTCGATTTTGACCACTGATCTCTCTGCCTCTTAAAGGAACACTAAATAGTGTTGTATGACTTGTATTTGTGTATTTTCGCTGAGAAATTTTAATGTAAACAGCTTCAAATGTTGTAACAAGCACGTCTGAAATGAGCCCGAATTTCTGTCTGTAGAGCAAAAACAGTCAGCCCGGATATCTCCGCCTCTTAAAGGGAAAGTGCCTCTTAAAGGGCCATTACTAAATTACAAAGGGCTCAAAAATGGTTCTCTGGCGCCATCTCGTGGACACTCTGACAAGCTTTAGGTTTGAAATTAACAAATTTAATATAAAAAAAATATTTATAGGAAAACTGTTATTTATAATTACACCAAATAAATATGATAATTATCTTCAATTTAAAGCACATCTTTTGGCCAAATTTGAGGATTGTATACTTTTTTATATGCCCCAAATACTCGATTGTAATATTTACAATTTTTTAATTCAAAAAATTTTTAATTCAAAAACTACAAATCTTATCGGCATGAGGACATACAGCAACCATCTCATGGGCAGTAGACAGCTTTTGACCAAATTTGGGGCTTGTAGCATCTAAGCCCTGGGAGGAGAAGCGATTGCTTTTTTTTGGTCAGAAGCCGGAATAATAATAATAATAAGAATAATAATAAGAATAAGTTTAAGTAGCATTACAGTATGTTGGCTTTCTCAAGCCAACATAATAAGAATAAGTTTAAGTAGCATTACAGTATGTTGGCTTTCTCAAGCCAACATAATAAGTGCTATAAGCAAGTTTCAGGTCTGTAAAGTCTAAGAAGGGAAGTATTAGTAGTATTAGTATTTTTTTTTTTTTTTTTTTTGAGGCAGCTAGGCTAAGCTAGCTTCAATTTTGATTGAATTATTCTCTAATCGGTTGCCTATTATGTGGTGAATATACCCCTGTTATGCATACTGCAGTCCTTTTTTTGTCTGGCTTTCTCGGATATCTAATCTGTCCACCAAAAATGACATTATATCCCTGGCAATGTCTGACACCAGCGCATACACATTGTAAAAGCTGTGCCAGGCACGAAAGTTTTCCTTTTCTGGCTGTTCTTTCTATGAATGAACTAACGTTATGTAAAAGCACTGTCCATGCGTGTTTCCTTGTTGGTTAGTAACGCTATATTTCAATGCACAACAATAGTCTACCGCAGAAATCGCGGTTTAATTAGTTATTATTAGATTATTTTTAATTGTCACCTCTCCTGCTGTGGGGGGGACTAGTGGGGGAAACCAGGACACCATAGAAACTCCACACAGAAATGCCAACTGACACAGCCAAGGCTCGAACCAGCGACATTCTTACTGTGAGGCGACAGCGCTACCCGCTGCGCCACCGCACCGCCCTTCCATATAAATATATAATAATATATTAAAAATTACATGAATATATAAATGTTATATATATATATATATATATGCCTTTTTTCCCAGTATAAATATTTAAACTTTTGTAAATCAAGATTAACATATAAAGAAAAGCCTGTTTACCCTATATTTTACCTTATTTTTATCAAAAAAATAATTATGATCAAATAAAAAAAGTACCGACTGAACATCTGGACTCATATGTGCTTCTCAAATAACTGCATCTACTTTTAACTATGTTGTTTTTTCAGTCTGTACCCTGATCGACAGTGTGAATCGGGCCATCTGCGCCCTCAGCAGGACATCAGAAGCGGGTTGGCTGTGTTTGGATGACCCGGGGTCACAGAAGGCCGTGACCCTGCGCTGACCTCTTCAACTCCGTCCAAGAGCTCAGAGGAGAGAAGCTGCTGACAGAGCGTGTTCACCACCTGAACCACCGGAGTCACGTCTGACAGAGCACAAAAGACAGATTTAGCTGAAGTAAAACAGCACAAAACTAAAGACAGAAGGGCTGATCTTACCGGGGCTTCTTCTGGTGCACAGATCCAAAGTGTTGATCAGGATTTTCCCTAGAATCCTGCGGGAGACTTTCTGTCAGAACAAAACACAGCAGAGAAGCAGAGGCGTTCATTACACAGTGTAAGCACTAGGTGGCAGTGTGGACCCATTTATCACACGGATTCCTTGATGTACTAGTGGACAACCCAACTCCCCGAGCAGAGGTTTGTGAACATGATGTTAGCTTGTGAAAGACTAGTGTGGATGTTTAGGATAGATAGATAGATAGATAGATAGATAGATAGATAGATAGATAGATAGATAGATAGATAGATAGATAGATAGATAGATAGATAGATAGATAGATAGATAGATAGATAGATAGATAGATAGATAGATAGATAGATAGATAGATAGATAGATAGATAGATAGATAGAAGGATGGACGGACGGACGGACGGACGAACGAACGGTTGGATAGACAGATAGATAGATAGATAGATAGATAGATAGATAGATAGATAGATAGATAGATAGATAGATAGATAGATAGAAGGATGGACGGACGGACGGACGGACGAACGGTTGGATAGACAGATAGATAGATAGATAGATAGATAGATAGATAGATAGATAGATAGATAGATAGATAGATAGATAGATAGATAGATAGATAGATAGATAGATAATTTCTAACATTAGCATAATTTGACACAATGCTAACATGTTTTATGCAATGATAGCATAGCACAGCTAATAAGTTTTCCCACATTTCTAGTATTAATATTTTTACACTGCAAACGTTTTAGCACATTGCTAAGACAACTTATAACATTTGTAGCATGATTCAGAACACTGCAAAATCGTATACACCATGTTTGGTAGATATATATTTTGTCTTTTGTAGCGTTTTCATATACCGCACTCTCTATGTTTTAGCATAAAATGGCTAAAATTAAATTTCACACTGTTCACATTTCCGAGTGAACACGTTGATAGCATGATTTAGCATACTGTTAGCTTGTTTTTTCCCTCCAAGAATGATTTTTCCACTTCCAGCTGTTAAAGTAAGCTACATTTTCATACAATGCTAACATGTTTTATTACACTGATAGCCTAGCACACGGGTACCCTGAGTTTTTCCTGCTTGCAAACGTTTTAGCACATTGTTAAGATGATTTTACATATATTGTAGCATGATTTAACACACATATAGCATGTCTTAGGGCACTGCTAGAAGAATTTTGTTGTGTTTGTAGCGTTTCAATTTATCTCACTGCTGACATTTTAGCATAAAATGCCCACCCCCCAGTATATTTCCACACGTCCAGCTGCTAAGTTTCTAACATTAGCATCACAATGCTAACATGTTTTATTACAATGATAGCATTGCACAGCTAACAAGTTTACCCACATTTCGTGTGTGATTTTTTAAAAACGTTTTAGCACATTGCTAAGACAATTAATAACATATTTAAAGCATGATTTAGCACACTGCTAGCAAAATCATATGTATCATGCTTGGTATATATATCTATATCTCTCTCTCTCTCTCTCTCTCTCTCTCTCTCTCTCTCTCTCTCTCTCTCTCTCTCTCTCTCTCTATATATATATATATATATATATATATATATTGTCTTTTGTAGTTTCTGTTTCTGTTTACCTCACTGTCAATGTTGCTAGCATGTCAATTGCTAGCATGTTTCCAACATGATTTAGTCGGAACAAATACACAGAGTATAAAAGTTAATGGCTGACTTTTCCAACCTTCTCATTTGTGCTCAACAATAAAATAAACTCACAGGTTTGGAAAAACTGGAGGATGAGTAGATGACAACCAAAAAAAAAAAGATTTTTGGTGAACCTTCCCTTTATTTTGTTTCTAGCATGATCTAGCTTGCATGTTTTAACAGGATTTACACACATAGCATTTTTGGCCTCACATTTCTACTGATATTTAATTTCCCACACTGCTAACACGTATGTTATTTAATTCAGCACACAGTTAGCAGGTTTTAGCAAAATGTTAGCATGTTTCTAACACGTTGTAGTATAGAATGAGTCAAATTTTCTATATAATCATATATAATATCACATCAAATCATGTCACGCCATTGACTTTACTTAGTGATCATCCTGAATGTACCTAAAGGGAATTAAAGTTCGCTCAAAATTATTTTACTCACCCTAAATTGTTCCAGCTAGTCACAATTTTTATTAATTTTCTTTTTTAAATAAAGGACATTTTGGCGTCATGGTGGCACAGTGGTTAGCATTGTCGCCGCACAGCAAGAAGGTTGCTGGTTCGAGCCCCGGCTGGGTCAGTTGGCATTTCTTTGTGGAGTTTGCATGTTCTTCCCGTGTTCGTGTGGGTTTTCATGTGCTATAAGTGATTTGGGCAAGCAAAAATTGTCAATAGTGTATGTGTGACTGCAAGGGTGTATGGCTTTTTTCCAGTGTTGGGTTGCGGCTGGAAGGGCATCCACTGTGTAAAACATATGCTGAAAAAGTTGGCGGTTCATTCCAATGTGGCAGTCCCGATGAATAAAGATACTAAGCCGAAAAGAAAATGATTGACTTAATAGAGGATAGTTTGACCAACATAATCTGACCTTGTGTGGAATCTGCAGCAGTAAAGTGAGCGCATCGGTCAGTCTGTCCTCCAGAGCAGATCTCACACTGTCCTCTTTATGCTTCATCTGCAGACACAGCAGTTGATCAGAGAAGATCACTATGACTCCAGCAAACACACACTCAGATCCTTCTTCGTGTCTCACCTGTCCTGCTGCACCTCTTCTGTCATCCGCTGGAGGAATCCACACACATCCTGCAGCTTCTCTGCTGTGAGCTGAGCTCTGAGACACCAGCCAGGTACAGATCGCAGCTTTCTGACATCTGTATATAGAGAACATGTCAGATTATTGCAAACATCCATTACTACTACTCATGGTGCAGAGATTGATTTGGTGTCCCAGTACAAATATCTTGGAATTTTAATTGATGAGACACTTTCTTTAAGTACTCACATTCAGGCTTCTAGTTTAGAATTAAGAACTGCCTTTCTTTTGATGCTAAAAAGAAGCTGGTTGAGGCAACATTCATGTCGACATTGGACTATGGTGATGTTATCTATATGCATGCTTCGTCTCAAAGTCTGATTGCATTGGATTCTGTTTACCATGGTGCACTAAGATTTATTGCTCATTTTAAACTCATCATTGTGTGCTGTATACTAGGGTAGGTTGGTCTGCTTTGTTCATTCGTAGGCTCAAGCATTGGCATATCCTTGTTTACAAATCTATACTGGGTTTACTCCCATCATATCTACAGACTTACATTTGTAAAAAGCCGGTTCTTAACTATGGTCTTTGGTCACAGGATATTTATTTACTGTCTGTTCCTAAAGTGCGGACTGAGATGAGGGAAAAAGGCTTTTAAGTACGCAGCACCTTTTGCTTAGAGTAATCTGCAAACACAGTTGCAGTTCAAAGACTTGATTTCACTGCATGCCTTTAAAAAGACTATAAAAGATTTAGAAGTTGAAACACGGTTTGTAGATGTTTTGAATAGTTTGTCAGTGTAACTGTAAATTGTTTTTGGTCTGTTGTCTGTTGGACTCATGTGACTTGTGTACTGCCTAATCTTAGCCAGGATGCTCTTGTAAAAGAGATTTTTAATCTCAATGTGTCTTTCCTGGTAAAATAAAGGTTATAATAATAATAATCCATGTGTTTATTAAAGGGAAACTTCCTCATGTGGTTTTAAACCTATTTGTTTTGTTTTTTTTCCTTCTATTGAACACAAAAGAAGACATTTAAAAAATGCTGGTTGCAGGCACCCACTGACTTCCTAAGTAGAAAAAAAGAAATACTAAGTCAAGGGAGGATGCAGTGGCGCAGTAGGTAGTGCTGTCGCCTCAAAGCAAGAAGGTCTCTGGTTTGAGCCTCGGCTCAGTTGGCGTTTCTGAGTGGGGTTTGCTTGTTCTCCCTGCGTTCGCGTGGATTTCCTCCGGGTGCTCCGGTTTCCCCCACAGTCCAAAGACATGTGGTACAGGTGAATTGGGTAGGCTAAATTGTCCGTAGTGTATGAGTGTGTGCGTGAGTGTGTTTGTGGATGTTTCCCAGATATGGGTTCCGGCTGGAAGGGCATCCGCTGCATAAAAACTTGCTGGATAAGTTGGCGGTTCATTCCTCTGTGGCGACCCCAGATTAATAAAGGGACTAAGCTGGCAAGAAAATGAATGAATGAATGGATGAATATAGAAGTCAGTAAGAACCAGTGTTTTATAAGCCGTTAGGTTTAGAGGTAGGGATTTAATACAGATTACATCTTTGAATAGGAATGATGTTCCAGGATCAACATAGATGTTAATCCAGGATCACAATCTATTTGACAAAATCACACCCATGGTATTCACCCTTTGTTGCAGCTGTGTAATCTGTTGATAAGGCGTTTGACCTGCAGGTGGCAGCACTGTCCTTCTTCAATAACCTGCTCCTCCTCTTCCTCATCTGAAGCTGCTCGACCCTCCACTGACCTTTGCAGGTCTTCTTCTGCACACAAACATCACACAGACACCGCTAACTCATACTATAGTTTGGAGAAAAGATGACTGTGGTGACCCTTTCTCATATGAAAATGTACGATTAGTTTTTTCTCCAGTTCCCCCCAAAGAATATGCCATTGTTTTTTGGTGCAATCACTTATTTTGTTATACTTAGTCAAATCTGGCCCTAAAGGTTTTTGAGATTTTTTAAATCTTTGACAACACAAACATTTTTGTTGACCAAACTCTTCTCAGTTCTAGGTCAAACAAAGATATCCGCTTAGTTATTAATAGTTCTCAGATCTCTTTACCTGTTTGCATTGGTTTTTGGAATAATATATTTGGTGACATAGATTGGGAACAGTTTTGGCTTCTTGGGGCATCACGGTGGTGCAGTGGGTTGCACTATCGCCTTACAGCAAGAAGGTCGCTGGTTTGAGCCTCAGCTCAAATTGTTCTCCCCTTTGTTGGTGTGGGTTTCCTCCGGGTGCTCCGGTTTTCCCCACAGTCCAAACACAGGCAATATAGGTGAATTGGGTAGGCTTAATTGTCCATAGTGTATGTGTGTGAATGAGTGTGTATGAATGTTTCCCAGTGATGGGTTGCAGCTGGAAAGGCATCCGCTGCGTAAAACATGTGCTGGATAAGTTGGCGGTTCATTCCGCTGTGGTGACCCCTGATTAATAAAGGGACTAAGCCGAAAAGAAAATGAATGCCCTCCCAGCCGCAACCCAGTACTGGGAAACATCCATGCACTCTCATTCACACACATACACAACGGCCAGTTTAGTTTTTTCAATTGACCTAAAGCTCAAGTCTTTAGACTGTGGAGGAAACCGGAGCACCCGGAAGAAACTCACGCCAACATGGGGAGAACATGCAAACTCCACACAGAAACGCCAACTGACCCAGCCGGGACTCAAACCAGCGTCCTTCTTGCTGTGAGGCGACCACTGAGCCACCCTGTTGCCAATTTTACTACATATAAATGTATATTTTTATAAAAAGTACCTAAAACACAGTACATCAGTCAATAAATCAGCAAACTATCATCTTAAAAACATTGCATGAATTAGATGCTTTGTTTCCAGCGAGGACTTGAACTTGTTCATGCTTTTATCAGCAGCAGGGTGGATTACTGTAACAGGCTTCACACTTGCCTTCCCAAAAAGACAGTCAGACAGTTACAGCTCATCCACAATGCTGCTGCCAGGATTCTGACCAGAAGCAGAAAATCAGAGCACATCACACCGGTCCTCAGGTCTTTACACTGGCTCCCAGTTAAATTCAGAATTTAATGTATCATTGCTTGTCTATAAACCACTAAATGGCCTAGGAGCTCAATACATTATAGATATGCTCACTGAAAACAGATCACTCAGATCTCTAGGATCAAATAAACTAGAAATTTCAAGAGTTTAGTCAAAGCAGGGTGTATCGGCTTTCAGCTATTGCGCCCCCAACTGCAGGAATCAGCTTCCGGAAATGATCAGATGTGCTCCAACATTAGGCACATTCACATCAAGACTGAAAACACATCTGTTTAGCTGTGCCTTTACTGAATGAACACTGTGCTGCGTCCCACAGATCGCACTATTATGTCTTTCTTTTCTCTTTTAAATTCTTTTATAACCTGTTTTAACACATTTGAATCTGTTTTTAATCATTTTATTGTTTGTTTATTTTATTTTCTTACACTTGTTTTTTTATTCTTGTTTATGTAAAACACTTTGACATTTATAAACTTGCTTTGCCTTACATAGTATGCGGTATATGAGCATTCAGAACATAATAGTCATTGTGATATTGTGCATGCCAGAAATAACAATAAAAAGTAATTTCTAGGGATGTAACAATATTGTAAATACCGTCATACCGCAATAGTAATTTTTTTCAATATTACCGTAGGCGCATGACTCAATAAAACTATATTTCTGAGAAAAGTTTGCTTAGGCGAATGAAGCGAACGGGAGGTAGCGGGAACTACAATTCCCATCAGCCTAGGCGTGGCCATCATCCTTTGCGGTCTGTTGTCACTACAGATCCAGTAATGCGGAAATGGAGTGTGTTGCTAGTAGTGGGGAAGAAAAAGAGCTGGAAATGATCGAACCTAAAGCGGGTTTTAAATCAGATGTGTGGAAGCATTTCAGTTTCTTTCTAAAAAGATACGAAAAAGGAGAAAAGGTGGCAGACAAAAAAAAACTGTATGCAGGCACAGCCAGACTGTGGTGAAATATAGGTCGGGGAATATGACTAAAAACAGTCATGGGGACTGCAGAACACAGCACACTTGTTAGATTGATGCAGACATTGACTTGTACGGCAAAGAGACCTCTATTTCACTCATGGCTTGTCCTCTCAAATGGTGGAAAGACAATGCACAACGTTACCCACTGCTGTCAACCTTGGCTAAGTCATATCTCTCTGTCCCAGAAACCTCAGTCCAAAATGAGAGGTTTTTTTTCTGTTGCAGGGGACATGCCCAGAGATCCCAGCTTTTACCAGATTATATTTATATGATAATTTTCCTTAAAAAAACCCATCTCTATCTAAGTGAGTGCGTGATTAAATGTTGAATGTGATGAGTTTTCAACAATACTAAATTGAAACTTTATTTTTTTTATATGGTTTAATAGTTTTTTGTTATTAAAATTGAAAAATTGAAGTTCCTGTTTCGAAACTTAGAGATAGATGGCTGATTTGTATGTCATTGATATGTTCAGTGCTAAGGTAAATAAACACTTTTGGCACTTTTTTTGAGTCTTTTCATTATTTTTGTTTTTCCTGTAAATTATTCAATAAATACCGTAACGTGCCATTTATATCGAGGTATTACCGTACTGTGAAATTCTGATACCGTTACATCCCTAGTAATTTCTTAAGATATGAATGAGAAGTGGACTAAATGCTGATCTTTTTTTTAATTCTCCTCACCTCTTTTGATCGTAGAGTCCTCATGACCAATAGAAGAGGGAAATCCAGACCCACGCAATTCAGCCAGAATTTCAGATCTGTTCCTATTCGCCTCCAAGCAGGTGCATTGGGCCCTATGAATAAATCATAAAGCATGTTATGATCAAACAACCCTCTGTGCGGGTGAGTCCAGACTTATGCAATCAAATTTTTAAAGATCACACGAGTAAAAAAGGATAATTTCTTTAAATGTCACTTTAGGCTGTATAGAAGTGTCTTGAAAAATATCTAGTAAAATATTATGTACTGTCATCATGGCAAAGATAAAATTATTAGGAATGAGTTATTAAAACTATTATGTTTAGAAATGTGCTCTCTCTGTTAAACAGAAATTGGGGGAAGAAATATACAGGTGGGCTAATAATTCTGACTTCATCTCTATATGCTAATGCATGAGCATATTTGATTCTAGCCCCTGCAGATCTTGTGGATTTTCCGAGTGAGGAAGCAGGCAGGTTTCGACCTGTTTTTTCCAGGTAAGGAATGAGCATTACATCACCACTCTGTGCTGCTAATAATGAAATATTAACCCGGGTATTAATCTGTTAAGCGTCTAACCATCTACTTGATTGATTGCGAGGTTAATGTGAGCTGTGGGTTCATAGCACTGGCGTTTTAATGCATGATGGAGGAACACAGATGCTTGTTTAGTAGTTCATCAAACTAAAACTAACTACAGTATGTGAAGGAGAGGCTCTGGTTTGCGTAATCTCTAATGCAGACAGTGTTTAGGAAATCCTGTTTAAATTATTATTTTTTCGGTTGTGTTTGGTAAAACTTTTTAAAGAGGAAATTACACATTCACACATACAATTGAAGTCAAAATTATTATTCTTCCTGTGAATTTTTTTCTGTTTTAAATATTTCACAAATGATGTTTACAGGGTTTCCGGAGGGTCTTAAAAAGTCTTAAAATGTCTTACATTTCAAAAACAAAATTTTAGGCCTTAAGTGAAGTTTAATTTTAAACTAATTTCAAGAGAAGCATGTGCTCATGATTGACCCAGCTGGTCCACATTAGCTAATCATGATCCTCCAATCAAAGGATCCCAAGTCACTATATATATCCTCATTTTTTTTCTACAATTATCTTCGTCTGGAAGAAACCGCTCTCATTCCCTTCTTCCTCTTTTATCCAGAATGGGCGGCACGGTGGCTCAGTGACTAGCACTGTTGCCTCACAGCAAGAATACCTATGGCGTCGGGTCATCGCTGAGCCATCTGGTATTTCTGTGCGGAGTTTGCATGTTCTCCCCGTGTCCGCGTGGGTTTTCTCCGGGTTCCCCGGTTTCCTCCCACCATCCAAATGTGCTCTATATTATAGATTAAAAAAAGCCTAAACCTTTTTTATAATATCTTACTCTTGGGAAGTTCGCCTTGGCCTCAGCAGCGGGGGAGTTTGAGATCGACCTGAGCTCAATCTCCCCTCGCCCTGCAAAAGGAGGGAGCCCTAGGCTCGAGGATCCCTTGAGCTCAGGGCTCTCTCCCGGAACAGCATGCCAAACAAGCTATGTATAAATCATGAGCTAAGTGTGAACTCTTGAAAAAGACTTAAATCCACTGAAGTATTGCAACGTGTGTCTTAAATAATTATTTAACAGGTCTTAATTTTCCTCTGTGCAAGTAAAGCTACACAATCCGGCCGGCATATATCTAACCATCAGCATTCCATCTTAATAAAACATTTTTTTAAGTTTATATTTAAGTTTTTTTTATGTTAAGAGATACAATTTACAATAGCCGTTATAAATATTTTACAGCAAATCCTCCAAATGAATTGCCTAATTCCCAGGAAAAGAAAGCTAAAAACAATTACGCAGTTCCTCATGATAATAACAGAGCAATATGTCCCTTTTATGTTACCTTCCATTCATACCAAATGGGAGTATACATAATATTTATAAATAGGCATGAAACTTAAGGATTACCTACAGAAATGTATTAGGTTAAAATAAAGTTATAGTCAATTTGGACCAAAAGCAAGAGCAAAACCAAAAGCAACAGAGCAAGGAAATTTTCACAGTATGTCTGATAATATTTTTTTCTTCCGAAGAAAGTCTTATTTGGTTTATTTCAGCTAGAATAAAAACACTTTTACAATTTTTTTATAACCATTTGAAGGTCAATATTATTAGCCCCTTAAGCTATATATTTGTTTCTATAGTCTACAGAACAAACCATGATTATACAATAACTTGCCTAACCTGCCATATTAACCTAGTTAAGCCTTTAAATGTCACTTTAAGCTGTATAGAAGTGTCTTGAACAATATCTAGTCAAATATTATTTACTGTCATCATGTCAAAGATAAAATAAATCAGTTATTAGAGATGAGTTATTAAAACTATTATGATTAGAAATGTGTTGAAAAAATCTGCTCTCCATTAAAACATAAATTGGGGGAAAAATAAACAGGGGGCTAATAATTCTTCCACTGTATATTTTTTATTATTTATGTAATTGTCACCACAATAAATATACATTTTTACATTGTTAAACTTTTAAATATTTGTAAACATTTGTTTGTCAAAAATAAATATTATGTTGAGTTACATTTTTAGTTACATTTGGTGGCAAGCTAAAAAAAGAAAATCCATTGGCCCAAACAAATCCATTGACTTAACTGTATATGCACACATTTAACATGTTTATTAAGACCATTCCATTATGTTCCTGCATCAAGAACTGTAAAACTCACTGACCACAGCCGTCTTTGATCCCTGACTGTCCTGCATCAACATGCGTCTTAGATTCTTCCCCACAGCATATAATATGACATGCAGAGTCTGATGCTGTAATACTCACACTTGAAAGCAAATGACTAATAAGCGTTTGCAGGAAACTGTGGCGTCCTGTGTTATTAAAGCTGGCCATTAACATCAGTCAGGAGAAAATCAAGCATGACTGTGTGACCTGCAGTCTTACTAATCTTATTCCTGACTCATTCACACAAACTCAAACCATCAGTACACTGAGTGCAGAGATAGAAAACAAAATCACTTTGCAAGATTTTAAGTTGATTGTGGTTTCTGGTCTGGAAATGTCGCTCTAAGATTAGACCCTGTTTTATACCTCGTATTCAGACGGATCCACAAAATGGATATGTGTAACTTATTAGCTTTCACAAATTTATGTGAATCTAACATAAAACAATTAAGTTGTCACCAAAAAACCCTCAGGAATTGTGTTGTTTTGGCTATTTTTAAAAGTTCAAGAAACTCTTGAGTACTTTTTTTGAGATTTTACCGAATTTTTGTGCTGATCATCAGGATAACGTTAGCAGCTGTCAGCTTTAATTGTGGAGAAACCCAAATAATTTTGAGCTTTTGTCAGCTAATTTCATAATTTCATTCAATAATTTTTGGGGCAGGATCAAAATTGATGACGGAGCTGAGTTTTCTTATCCTATGAGAAGACCCTGCTGCTTAATTATTCATGAGAGTACATGTTTTCTGGAGGCAAAGCAGACCTGCCAAGCTGTAAAATTGGAATTGACCATCAAGATCTGCAGTTTAAATGCCGCCTATGAGAAGGTGAGACTGCGTCCGCTTAAGGCAAGCAGTATTTAGCCGTTCATGAAGGCTTGTGTTTGTTTCTATATGATCCACGGGGTTTGTTGCATGTTTTCCCCCGCGATGCTGTCAGGGCCGAAACAGCAAAGCTGTTAGTTTGCAGCAAGCATTTTTGTCGGGAGAGCTAAACAAAATTGGAAAATGGCGGACTTTGTCCAGGCTCATTTGCCCACTCCTCCCTCTGCTCGCAGAGCTCTACGCCCACCATGAAGCAATTTTTTTTTAAATTTGGAGGTAGACTTGAACTGAAAGAGGGGGTTCAGGGCTCATTTGGTCATGGAAAACCTGGAAAAGTCATGGACTTTTGACATGGCATTTTCCAGGCCTGAAAAAGTTGAAAAACAAAAACCCACAGAGTTTTGGAGAAGTCATGGATATTAGTTTAACAAATATCTGTATACTTGAATTGGGGCTGTGCGGTATTGGAGAAATCTGACATTACCATCTTTAGTATTTCTGTGATCTATATTGAGATGTGAATTTACAATTTCACCAGATGATTTAACAGGTTTATTTGGATTGATTGGGGGGATTTTGTAGAGGAGTGAATCTCGAATACTATAAAACAAATACATTACATGCATAGATAAATTAAATATAGCAAAGACAAAAGCGAACTGTAGTTTTCAGGTATTCACTCTTCAGCTACAGATATTGAATAATCAACACTGCAGAGTCTTCACTGTATATTATTTCATCTTTATTAAAGTTACAAAACATTTCTTTTGGCCGGATGTTTTAAAATTTGAAATATTGAAATGTTCACACAGTCACAGGCCTTAAAGGGACAGTTCACTCAAAGATTAAAATGTACTCACTATTTACTCACACTTTACTTGTTTCAATACTACAGGAGTTATTAAATTATACTCTTTTTGTGTTCATAAAAAAAAAAAGAAAATTCAGAAATGTTTGAAACAAGTGAAGGGTGCAATGAAAATTGTAAGTAATTTTTAAGTGAACTATCTCTTTAAAAATGCATGCAGATGACAAACTTTTACTCCATCATGACTAAACACTACAGTATATTAAACTAGAACCTAAAGTTTATTAATAAACTTTGATGTTGGCTTGAGAAAGCCAACGTGACTGCGCTTGGACTGGGAATGGCAGTTGGCAGAAAGCACGGCGGCGGTTGCTAAGTGGTTGCTAGGCAGTTGCTAAAACAATTATGGCATTGTTAGGTAGTTGCTAAGCAGTTGCTAAATGGCAATGCTCGAGTACATGTTTGATCAAATGCTAATACTTAGGAGGCATTTCTAGCATATGTTATTACATTTAGATAATCATTCATAGCATGTAGCTTATCGTTATTAGCAATTGGCTTCCATTATCATTGTTACCATGCATATTACACAGGAAGTCCCATTTGCTAGCATGAGTCAAACAAGCCAATGCCCAGGTCCCTACGATGTTCTGATGTAGAGATATTGCTATTTTTAAATGGTTGCTAGGTTATACTGTTTTATTGCTATGGGGACATTTGATAGGTTAGTGATGATACATCAAAGCTTCTTGGCAATATGAGTGATCTTAATCAACCCCGATGTTTCTATGACAGTCTTTATGAGTGTCAAAAACTGGACTTGAACATTATGTATTCCTGGTGTTCTGTTGCGGCTGGAAGGGCGTTCGCTGTGTAAAACAAATGCTGGATGAGTTGGCGGTTCATTCCGTTGTGGCGACCCCTGATTAATAAAGGGACTAAGAGAATGAACATTATGTAAAAATGGCTTGCCGTATTTTTTTGAAAATACATTGCTTAATAAGTGTGAAAGTGATACATGCAAAAATAGCTTGCCATATCAGTAAAAAATATGGAGTTTAAGTCAAAAATGGCTTGCCATGTTTTGAGAAAAATAATGCTTAAAAATTATTTATTGGAAAACTAAAAGTCTGATAAACCTTAAAGATATAGCAACAAAATCTAACGCATCTAAATACAGCTTTTGGCCAAATTTGGGGCTTATATAATTTTTTATATGCTCGGATTATAAAAAATTTATATTTAACATTTTTTATTAAAAAAACAATAAGTCATATAGGCATGATGAGATATAGCAACAATCTTGAATGTAGAAGGCACATTTTAACCACATTTGGGCCTTGTGGCATGAACAGCCTAGGAGGAGATACGTTTGTTTTCAAGGACAGAGTAGTATAACAGTATGTTGGCTTTCTCAAGCCAACATAACTATAATCCCAACACTGCATATCCTGCGATGTGACTATTGCGGATGCACACATTGCAATATCGATGCTGAAACAATATATTGTGCAGCCCGAACTTAAATATAGATTAGTTTGTCTTTACTTCTGTTCTTGGCCAAAAACTTGGTCTCACATTGTTCGTGCTGTGTAAGCATTATCAAAATCAATTTTACATAGATATAAAAACAGATTTAAACAAAATAAATTGTTGTGTTCTGTGATATGCTGTAATAAATTTGAATGTCATTGTTTTTATTATTATTTACCATCTATATGTAGACATTACATGAAACATTACGTCATGAAAATGTACTTGAAAGTTCTGGAAAAGTCTTGAAAAAGTCATGGAATTTTAGTAGTAAAAATGTGCATGAACCCTGGAGGTTTCATGGCCCTTTAAATAGGTAGCTTGAACAAGCAGCAAATAATAATCTTTTTGGAGTGTACGTACCTGATCTTCTCCATCTGCTTCTCCAGACTCTGGACGCGCTCTCGGAGCAGATCCGCTTGTTTGGCCTGGTCTTGTAAGGTCTTAACGTGCTCCAGTCCTGCAGCCAGTGCTCCCCTGACCTCCTCCGTCCTCTTCTTAATCCGTTTGTTTTCCGTCCTGACGTTTTCCAGCGTCTCCTGCATGCGGGTCAGCTCTCCGTAAGCCGCCATCAGCTCTTCCTCCAGCCTCTGGTTAAAGCGCATGGCCTCCTCCAGCTGCCCGTCTCTGGACGCACGGATCAGTTCCAGCTCTCGCAGCAGGTCTTTAGTGCCTCTTCTGGAGTCCCAGTCCATGTGTTTGGGGTGTTGGGTTTTGGTTTTGCAGTCTTGTTTCTCTAGGGTTGTGCCAAGAGTGTGTTTTCGGCGTAATGCCACCTCTAGTGATATACAGCGTGCGTCGCTGCTCTGGAGGGCTGAACGCAGGTCCTCCACCAGCTCCCTCAGACTGGCGTTCTCCAGCTCCAGCTGCTCCTGCAGTCGTCTCTGCGGGCTTATATCTACTGCAGTAAATGAAGCCAAATTAGATCTCCAGTAGCAAAGACATTTATCATTTACAGGGGGGGGGGGGTAATTATTGAATTATTTTCAATGATTTTTTCTAGGAATAATACATCTAAAGGAGCTTTTGACATGGGATTGGACACGATTTTGGTAAAAACCCAAACAATGCACACAAAAAAAACTAATCTGAAAAATGAGTTCTGTGTAATAACAATGAAATGACACGAGGAGAAAGTACTGAACTACTAAAACATACTTAACACTTTATATAAAAGGCTTTTTAAGTGATGGCAGCTTAAAGACGTCTCTCATATGGATGATGAAGTCACATGCATTGCTTGGGTGTGAGTTTTTCACAGACTTCAACAGACTGTAAAAATCTTGTTGGCTCTGTGTGTCTTAAATCTGATCTTTATTGTTTTTACTCTATTGGATTCAGATCAGGTGATTGGCTGGGCCATTCTACAGCTTGATTTTCTTTCTCTGAAAGCAGTTTCCTTGGCTGTGTTTTGGGTCATTGTCTTGCTGAAATGTCCTCCCTGGTTTTTATCTTCATCATCCTGCTAATGTAGATGTTGGACTGAAGCAGCTGATAGTCATTTACACAGACGAAGGGCAGAGGGTTGCTGAAGAACTACTAAGAGATTTCAGCTGCTGTCTGAGCTTTCACTGCTTTTCTAAACCTCCCTTTCTTCATGTGTTCAATACTTTTACCCTGCGTCATTTCATTTTATTACACATTATTTCAGTTGTAAACTAATGCTTTCTTTGCATACATGGATACCAACAATAATAAGGCTAATAGTTTTGACTTCAACTATGTATGCATGTTCTTTTAATTCTTAATACTATCTTATTTATAATTATTATTTTAAAATGTTATTTCATTTTTTTTTATTAAAACAGTTTTCTTTAAAGGTTAGAGTTACATCCAGCATTGCAATTAAAATAGAAAAGTAATTGTAAGCAAATGTATCAGCATCATCACTTTCGCAGCTAGTTTATCATAACTGTAAGGTTTAAGTAAATTACTATTAAATAACTTATTTTAATAAATATTTGATAATTCAGTATAATTCAAGCATCTTGTTAGATGTGTAATCTTGATTTTAAATGAAATTTTATAGATTTAAATTATTGACTTTTTATTAGATAAAGCAAAATAGTTGTTTCATTCCTAATAAAGTTGCTTTGGGTTTTATTTTTAGTAGACTAAAACCCTGTAAAAACTGTAGTTTCATTATTTCTCAATGGCGCAGACATTATACTCCTGCAAATCTTCTATAAATAAATCATCATTAATTATAATTAAAGGCTAAAAATGTCCCCTGAGGCTTGGGGTTTTTGGATGGCAAAATACAGCTATTAAATTAGTCTTCTTGACAGCTTAGGTGTGTGTGTGCGTGTGCTTGTTTTATTATCCCGGTGGGGATTTAAATCTGTATGCACAGACTCATTGGGGACTTGTGTCACTATTAGGCACTTAAATTGAGGATCCAATGGGTAAATAAATCTCACTAAACCACACTAAACTGTACTGAACTGAACTTACACTTTGAAAACTGGACTTACACTGTTTTAATTTACTATAATCTTCTACGTGAAGCTGCTTTGACAGTTTACATTGTAAAAGGGCTATACAAATAAATATTAATTGAACTGAACTGAATTGAATAAATCATACAGCATAAAAAAGATTTTTTAAAAGTGTAAAATGGAAATTGTTTCCTGTGAGGGTTGGGTTCAGGGTAGGGTTGAGGTAGGAGGATTGAATGTAGAGTTTGTACACCAGGAACACAATTACGTCTTGGGGAGTCCCAATCAAGATACACAGTAAGAACAAGTGTGAAATCATAATAGCCAATGAATTACTATCAAAGCACAACATTGTTCACAGTCAGTTAAATAGTGCTGTTTTGAAGTCATATTTACATGCAATATCTGACCCAATATTCAAAGTAGCATGGTTAAAAAATACTGGGACCGTGTCATAGGTTTTCACTGAATAAATGTGCGAATAAAACCTACTTTACCTCAGTTGTCTATGGAATAAGAACAAGTGTGTGTATATATGATAAGCTCTTTCTTACCTACGCTTCTCTTGTTCTCCACAGTAGTGTTGATCTGCTGATGATCCAGGCTCTGTGCGGGTCCGGATCTTCTCGCTGTCCTCCTCCGGTTCTGCTGCTCGGCGGACAGATCGAAACTGACACACTTTCTCCTCCGGACGCGCGGACAGCGGAGTCTGATCTCCCTCTCGATGTGTTCGGTCTCCTCGCTGACCAGCAGTCGAGCTCCTTTCTCACCCTCCGGGGCTTTTAAAGAGAAAAACCCGCAAAGTCGCGCGTGGAAGTCTTTAAAGTTGAGCACGCGAGGAAGTCCATCAGTCTCCGCGCTCCCGGTGATGCCCAAAACTAAACACAGACTCCTAAAGTCCTCATCCGAGACGAGATCTTCTCCGTTGTTAAAGGCCAAGTGATGAAACACCTCCTGGAGATACTGGTCCACACCGGTAGCCAAAACCACGATCTCGTTTTCCGCGCAGGGGTCCGGGCTGAAGTGGTGCGAAAGCGCGCTTTTCAGCCACTCGCTTTTACGCGCCGCGCGAATCCGCGAAACCTGCATGACTGAAGGCACCCGCAGAAATACAGCTTCTTCACACAACTTTCTTCATTGCGAATTTGAAAAATATGTTTTAACTTGTTGAAAGCTTACCATAAAGGAGTATAAGTGTTGACGTCTTACATTACAGCGCTTATAGAGCCGAACAGTAATTAGCTTAATCTATAATGGCTTCAAAATCTCTTCCTCAGACTCTTGCTTCAGGGTTTGTGGTCGTGTGTGTCTTCAAAAGACACACTCCACCCTTTGGATTGACAGAGGTGTGTGTGTGCGCGCGTGTGTGTTTTCCAGGGCGCGTGAAAGCTTTCAGATCTGTCCAATCACCGCGCACTCCATGCTGAGGCTTTTTTGGAGCCCGACCAAGAAAAGTGATCTTCCATGGAGTTTGAAGACACTTAATACAGGTAGTGTGGACTCTTTTAAATGGCAGCTTTTATCTGAGTTTACAGATCACTTTGGGGGAGTTTTCAAGCATGACTCACTGGCTTATAAGAGCCTGAAGTGAAGCAGGTAACACCCAAGCAGATTTAAGATATGCTCCCTGCAAAGCCTGATGTTTACAGACTACATGAGTGACCCTGAATCACTAAATTCTTATGTTGCAGATGTAGATTTGTGGGAAGAGCCATAAATTGATTGTATGTGTCAAAAATATATGCCAAAAAAAAAGTTAAATATCACGTTTCTTCTGTAAATATATGAGAATGTATTTTTAATTAGTCATTTGCATGGCTGAAAACTTGATTTGGACACCTTTAAAGGCAATTTTCTCAATATTTAATTTTTTTATAAACCCTCATTTTCCAGATTTTTAAATAGTTGTATCTCAGTCAAATATTATCCAGTCCTAACAAACCATACATCAATTAAAAGCTCATTTATTCAGCTTGATTATGTGTATTATTCCAAAAATGTACCCTTTTGTCTGGTTTTGTTGTCCAGGGTCACATACATATATTTATGTGTGTTTGCAAATGTATGCTCCCAGTTAATAAAAACAGGGTGTCCACAGGGTCTTAAAAAGACTTAAAATGTTTTAATCTCAAAAGGTAAATTGTAGGCTTTAAAAGGTTGTAAATCTACTAAACTATTGTGTTGTATATGTCTTAAATCTTTTGTAAACAGGTCTTAATTTTTCTTTGTTCATGTATAGCCATCCAATCTGGCCATTAACACCTATACAATCACAATCAATCCCTATCTTCCTAAACGTTTTACTTTTTATTTAAAAATAGCATTTAATTACTTTTCTTACAGTAGCATTTACTTAAACGTTCTCCATTTATTTACTGATGTGGCGACCCCTCTAATAAATGGACTAAGCCGAAAAGAAAATATATAGCTCAGGTCAGTATCCTCTACTATCAGTAGTATCCTCTTATAGTCCATTTATTAATCTGGGGTCACCACAGCAGAATGAGCCTCCATCTTATCCTGCATATGTTTTACGCAGCAAATGCTTTTCCATCCACAACCCATCACTGGGAAACATCCACACACACTCATAAACTATGAACAATTTAACCATCATTTCAACCAACAAATTAACTTCTTTGGAGTTGTGGGGGAAACCGGAGCAGCCGGAGGAAATGCGAACACGGGAAGAACATGCAAACTCTATACAGAAATGACAACTGACCCAGCTGAGGCTCAAACCAGCGACCTTCTTGCTGTGAGGTGACAGCGCTGCGCTACCCACTGCACCATCGAGACCCCCTAAGTTATTATTATTGTATTATTAAATGTATTCGATTTTAATAATTTTCTGACAGGGCTAGTGAAAATCATTTCTAACTGGGATATTTGGGGAAAAAAAGTCTTTAACAGTCTTAAAAACTCTGTGAAAACTGCAGAAACGCTGAAAAAATAATTAAAGATTAACACACTTTTTCTGAAATTGATTGTGATTAATCCCACTTTAATGCTTTAATAATTTCATGTTCAATC